TTCAGTACGCATTTTTATTCCTTCAGGAAGCTTCTAATTGACGAGTCTTTGATTCTGTTCAAAGAAAGACTTTCTTTCAAGCAGTACATACCAAGCAAGACAAAACGCTTTGGTATAAAGTTGTTTGTGCTCTGTGATTGTTACAGTGGTCTGGTATTGGATATTATTGTGTACACTGGAAGTTATACATTGTACAATACCAGGAAGTTATTGGGCATCTCAGGTGATGTGGTTAGAACAATGATAGAACCATACCTTGGTAAGGGGCATATATTATATACAGATAACTGGTACACAAGCCCCTCAACTCAGTGATTTTTTGCGAGTGAACATGACAGATGTGTGTGACACAGTGCATGCAAATCGGAAACATATGCCAGGTTTGACACTGGCACTCGTAGAGGCGAGGTGCAGGAGTTTGCTGCCAATGACATCATGGCATTTCGGTGACACGACAAACGAGATGTCACACTGTTGTCATCAGTTCACCCTAATGAAATGGTAGACAGTGGCAGGCAGCACAGAGAGAGCAATGAACCCATTCTAAAACCTGCAGCTGTGATTGATTACACCTTCAATATGCATTCAGTGGACAAATGTGACATGCAGATTGGGTTTGCTGATTGTGTTCGCAAGAGTTATAAGTGGTACATAAAACTCTTTTTCCATCTTCTGGACATTTCCATGCTCAATGCTTATAATATGTATAAGATGAGGACCAGAAACAAACCAAAGTACGGCGAATTCTGTTTGTCTGTCATCAGACAAATAGTATTCAAGTACCAAGGAACAGCACTTGCAATTGACCGCCCGCCAAATTATCAACAACTACCTGCTCGTCTGAAGCATGGTGATCACTTCCTGGTAAAAGTGCCTGCTACTGCTTTCAAGAAAAAGGCTCAGAAGAGGTGTTACATCAGTTCACATACAAAAAAACGCCCACAACAACGCAGAGACACTCGTTTTATGTGTGAGGAGTGTAAAACACCACTGTGCATGACACCATGTTTCAAAGACTTCCACAGGCTGCAGAACTTCTAGAAACATTCCCTGTGACTGTATATGTGTATATAAAATATAGAAAAATAGTAATAAACAACATTTCATATCGTTTGTTTGTATAAATATTTTCTATAAATAAAATAATGACAACAGTGTTTACGCCCTTATTGTGTAGTATTGAAAAAGAAATAACTTACAAAATACTGATCATGTTGGCCTCAGAGGCCATAAAAGTTACTCAGAAAAAGAAAAATTGAAAAATAATTGAAAATAGTACATAAAAAAGTAAATAGAAAAATACCGGGTGATGGCAGTCGGCGATGTTACCAGATGTTGTTCAAATTTGGCAAACTTCACGCCTCCATATCTCGGTAAGTATTGACGGTAAAAATTTTTTTTTAGCCTATAATGTTTAGAAAAAAAAACTCTATTTTTCATAAGAAATTTTTTTTTTTTTTTTTTTTGAAATTTGGCCGACCCTGAGAACGAGTTTCGGAGAGGGCCTGTCGACCCTCAAAGGGTTAAACAAAAATACCAACCACTCCAACACTATGTCCCCCCATGCTTTTAACATTTCTGTCATGATCCCGTTAGTTCCAGCTGCTTTACCCCCTTTCATTCTACGTAATACTTCACGCACCTCCCCCACACTCACATCCTGCTCTTCTTCACTCCTAAAAGATGATATACCTCCCTGGCCAGTGCATGAAATTACCGCCTCCCTTTCTTCGTCGATATTTGAAAGTTCCTCAAAATATTCTCGCCATCTACCCAAAACCTCCATCTCCCCATCTACTAACTCCCCTTCTCTGTTTTTAACTGACAAATCCATTTGTTCCCTAGGCTTTCTTAACTTGTTTAACTCTAAATTTTTTTCTTATTTTCATTAAAATTCCTTGACAGTACCTCTCCCACTCTATCATCCGCTCTCCTTTTGCACTCTCTCACTACTCTCTTCACCTTTCTTTTACTCTCCATATAATCTACTCTTCTTATAACACTTCTGCTTTGTAAATACCTCTCATAAGCTACCTTTTTCTCTTTTATCACACCCTTTACTTCATCATTCCACCAATCACTCCTCTTTCCTCCTGCACCCACCCTCCTATAACCACAAACTTCTGCCCCACATTCTAATACTGCATTTTTAAAACTATTCCAACCCTCATCAACCCCCCCACCACTCATACCTGCACAGCCCACCTTTCTGCCAATAGTTGCTTATATCTTACCCAAACTTCCTCCTCCCTTAGTTTATACACTTTCATCTCCCTCTTACTTGTTGCCATTTTCCTCTTATCCCATCTACCTCTTACTCTAACTGTAGCTACAACTAGATAATGATCCGATATATCAGTTGCCCCTCTATAAATGTGTACATCCTGGAGCCAACCCATCAACCTTTTATCCACCAATACATAATCTAACAAACTACTTTCATTACATGCTACATCATACCTTGTATATTTATTTATCCTCTTTTTCATAAAATATGTATTACTTATTACCAAACCTCTTTCTACACATAGCTCAATTAAAGGCTCCCCATTTTCATTTAATCCTGGCACCCCAAATTTACCTACTACTCCCTCCACAACATTTTTTCCCACTTTAGCATTAAAATACCCAACCACAAGCACTCTCACACTTGGTTCAAAACTCCCCATGCAATTACTCAACATTTCCCAAAATCTCTCTCTCTCTCCTCTATACTTCTCTCTTCTCCAGGTGCATATACACTTACTATAACCCACTTCTCACATCCAACCTTTATTTTTCTCCACATAATCCTTGAATTAATACATTTATAGTCCCTCTTTTCCTGCCATAGCTTATCCTTCAACACTGTTGCTACTCCTTCTCTAGCTTTAACTCTATTAGAAACCCCTGACTTAATCCCATTTATTCCTCTCCACTGAAACTCGCCCACCCCCTTCAGCTTTGTTTCACTTAAAGCCAGGATATCCAGCTTCTTCTCATTCATAACGTCCACAATCATCTCTTTATCATTCGCACAACATCCACGCACATTCAAACTTCCCACTTTGACAATTTTCTTCTTCTTATTCTTTTTAGTAATTTTTACAGGAAAGGGGGTTACTAGCCCATTGTTCCCGGCATTTTAGTTGACTTTTACAACACGCATGGCTTACGGAGGAAAGATTCTTATTCCACTTCTTATTCTTATTCCATTTAACAATTCCTCAAAATATTCCCTCCATCTTCCTGATACCTCTAACTCTTTTTACATTGCTTCACCACTCTCTTAACCTCTCTTTCTCTCCATTTACTCTTCCCTCCTTGCATCACTTCCACTTTGTAAAAACCTCTCATATGCTAACTTTTTCTCCCTTACTACTCTCTTTACATCATCATTCCACCAATCACTCTTCTTCCTTCTCGCACCCACTTTCCTGTAACCACAAACTTCTGCTGAACACTCTAATACTACATTCTTAAACCTACCCCATACATCTTCGACCCCATTGCCTATACTCTCACTAGCCCATCTATCCTCCAATAGTTGTTTATATCTTACCCTAACTGCCTCCTCTTTTAGTTTATAAACCTTCACCTCTCTCTTACTTGCTGCTTCTATTTTTCTTGTATCCCATCTACCTTTTACTCTCACTGTAGCTACAACTAAAAAGTGATCTGATATATCTGTGGCCCCTCTATAAACATGTACATCCTGAAGTCTACTCAACAGTCTTTTATCTACCAATACAGTGGACCCCCGCATAGCGAACGCCTTGCATAGCGAACATTCCGCATAGCGAACGCTTTGATCGCTAAAATTTTGCCCCGCATAGTAGACAAAAACCCGCTCAGCGAACTTCGTCCGAGACGCGTCCAATGTGCGGCCTCAGCCAGCCTCACATGTGCCGCCTGTCCCATTGTTTACCAGCTAGCCTCCGCGGTAACATTCAAGCATACACTCGGAATATTTCGTATTATTACAGTGTTTTCGGTTCTGTTTGTTGAAAATAAGTGACCATGGGCCCCAAGAAAGCTTCTAGTGCCAACCCTGTGGTAAAAAGGGTGAGAATTAGTATGGAAATTAAGAAAGATTTTGAAGGGTTTGGGGCTAACCCTGAGAAGCCTATGCCAGTTGTGGAATCCATTGTGCCTACTTCAAAAATTAAGGAAATGTGTGCACAGTGGGTTGAACTGCAAACCTTTATGGATGAAAATCACCCTGACACAGCTGTTGCAAGGCGTGCTGGTGACTATTTCAATGACAATGTTATGGCCCATTTTAGACAAATCGTAAAGGAACGGGAGGTACAGAGCTCTATGGACAGAAAGAAGTCCAGTGACTCTGAAGCTGGTCCTAGTGGCATTAAAAGAAGAAGGGAAGTAACCCCGGAAAAGGACTTGCCTCCTCAAGTGTTAATGGAAGGGGATTCCCCTTCTAAACACTAACACTCCTCTCTCCCCTCCTCCCATCCCATCAATCATCACCAGATCTTCAATAAAAGTAAGTGTCATGTAATTGTGCATGCCTTTTTCAGTTTGTGTGTACTAAAATTAACATTTTTTTGTGGTAAAAAAATTTTTTTTTCATACTTTTGGGTGTCTTGCACGGATTAATTTTATTTCCATTATTTCTTATGGGGAAAATTAATTCGCATAGCGAACATTTCGCATAACGACCAGCCCTCTTGCACGGATTAAGTTCGCTATGCGGGGGTCCACTGTACATAGTCTTAACACACTACTGTCATTACACCCTACATCATATCTTGTATACTTATTTATCCTCTTTATCTTAAAATACATATTACTTATAACTAAATCCCTTTCTATACAAAGTTCAATCAATGGTCTCCCATTATAATTTACACCTGGCACCCCAAACTTACCTACCACACCCTCTCTAAATGTTTCTCCTACTTTAGCATTTAGGTCCCCTACCACAATTACTCTCTCACTTGGTTCAAAGGTTCCTGTACATTTGCTTAACATCTCCCAAAATCTCTCTCTCTCCTCTATACTCCTCTCTTCTCCAGGTGCATACATGCTTATTATGACCCACTTTTCACATCCAACCCTTATTTTAATCCATATAATCCTTGAATTTACACATTTATATTCCCTCTTCTCCTTCCATAACTGGTCCTTCAACATTATTGCTACCTCTTTCCTTAGCTCTAACTCTCTCAGCTACTCCTGACTTAATCCCATTTATTTCTCCCCACTGAAACTCGCCTACCCTATTCAGCTTTGTTTCGCTTAGAGCCAGGACATCCAACTTCTTTTCATTCATAATGTCAGCAATCATCTCTTTCTTATCATCTGCACTGCATCTACGCGCATTCACGCATCCCAGTTTTATAAAGTTTTTCTTCTTCTGATTTTTAGTAAATGTCTACAGGAGAAGGGGTTACTAGCCCATTGCTCCCAGCATTTTAGTCGCCTCATACGACACACATGGCTTATGGAGGAAAGATTCTTTTCCACTTCCCCATGGACAATAAAGAGAAAAAAAAAAGAACAAGAGCTATTAAGAAAAAGAAGAAAAACCCAAGATGTGTGTATGGTATGTATATATACATATGCATGCCTGTGTAGTGTGACCTAAGTGTAAGTAGAAGTAGCAAGATATATCTGTTATCCAGTGTGTTTATGAGACAGAAAAGAGATACTTTCAAGGATCACAACAGTGCCACGATCGCACGTGCAAAGAAAATGATAGGATGGATAATGAGAACTTTCAAAACGAGAGATGCCAAGCCGATGATGATCCTTTTCAAATCACTTGTTCTCTCTAGGCTGGAATACTGCTGTACATTAACATCTCCATTCAAAGCAGGTGAAATCGCAGATCTAGAGAGTGTACAGAGATCCTTTACTGCACGTATAAGTTCTGTCAAGCACCTTAACTACTGGGAACGCTTGGAAGCACTTGACTTGTACTCGTTGGAACGCAGGAGGGAGAGATGTATCATAATCTACACTTGGAAAATCTTGGAAGGAATGGTCCCAAATCTGCACACAGAAATCACTCCCTACGAAAGTAAAAGACTGGGCAGGCGATGCAAAATGCCCCCAATAAAAAGTAGGGGCGCCATTGGTACACTAAGGGAAAACACCATAAGTGTCCGGGGCCCAAAACTGTTCAACAGCCTCCCATCAAGCATTAGGGGAATTACCAATAAACCCCTGGCTGCCTTCAAGAGAGAGCTGGACAGATACCTAAAGTCAGTGCCGGATCAGCCAGGCTGTGGCTCGTACGTTGGACTGCGTGCGGCCAGCAGTAACAGCCTAGTTGATCAGGCCCTGATCCATCGGGAGGCCTGGTCATGGACCGGGCCGCGGGGGCGTTGATCCCCGGAATAACCTCCAGGTAACCAGGTAATCCTACCATCATGTAAAACAGTTACAGGTTTCTCTTTCACAGTCACCTGGCAGGATGGTAGTACCTCCCTGGGTGGTTGCTGTCTACCAACCTACTACCTTTTTACCTTCATAAGTTTCATGATAGCATCATAAGTCATTCATTAGCCATTCCACTTTCATGAACCATTCAACATTCAGGTCTATACCCTCTAGTTCTAATATAGCCACATTCACTTTCAAGAACACACCAGTAACCCCTTTACAGTGAACTACTTTTGTATTTCCATTCTTTCCTCTTCTTCCTCTTCCAAGTGCTGCTGCACTTTGTTAGTTAGCTCTCCCTAAACATATTCCACTAAATCTTCAATATATTCCAATTCAACATCTAAATTAAGCACAGTAGCAAGCTTCCACGCCCAAAGTTCTTGTACAGAGTACAATACCGAATTATTAGAGAGCTGGTCATATGTCCACGCGGTCGTTAAACAGGCAGGTCATTAAGTGAGGAGTGTCTGTACTGTGTCTTAAAACATTCCCCTTACAAAGAGGATCAGAGCGAATCATATTCAAATGATGATAATTTATGTGTCTCTGTTAAATAGTGTCTCTGTTAAATATAATGTCAATTTAGGTCAAATCTATAATCATGTTATCAACATGATAATTACCCTGCAAATTCCAACTCAATTCCTTAATTATTATTTTACCTGGAAATAACGGAAATGCTGGCACCAAAAAGTCCCGAGGACTTGCCAGTGGGCACTCTTCTAAGTGTTGCCTCTGGGGGTAGGAACTTGAGGACCACAACTAACACAAGGTCCTGTAGACTTACACGTCGCTCAGTTAAAGTACTACTCAACCAAGATCGTGAGAGCTGTAAAGAAAAAATTACATTCACATCATTTTTAAAAAAATGAATGTTTGCATCTACCCAATGCTAACTTAAAAGGCATCATTTTTAAATTACAATAAAGTATTTACAAGTCTGTGGGTGTGTGTGTGCATATCTATATACGTATATATAGAGGAGAGCCCCTCTTATATGGCAGGTTAGGTTCCAGGATACTGTTGTAAAGCAAAAATCACTGTAAAGTAAAATATACCCTTTTTTTTCACTTTCAAATGCATATAAAATCTGATAACATGTTTACACTATCATATATTAAGTGAGCAATAGAGCTAGGCTTAAAAATGCACATACAGTAGGGCCCTGGTTTACGGTGCTTCGCTTATTGTTTGGGGTTGCAAACCTTAGAACCGTACGAACATGGCCCTCCTGTATTTCAGTAGCAAAGTCTATGCTCAAGCATGCTGTTTATGGTTTGACTGCTACTTTAAAAACTATTAAATAAATAAAATATAGTAAACAAACCTCAAGGTGAGTTTTTCCCCTCAGTTGTGTTCCAAGTTTTGGATGATCCTCGTAACACAGAATACGCAGAGTTTGCGAACCCTCAAGCTCAATGATGAAATCTTGATTCCAGTGAGGTTCTACACCTTCAGTGATCTTTGTTTTGGCTTTACGGAAAAAGTGTCCATATGAATCTACTTCAAAGCACACATACATATCTGTTAATGAAAAAAAGAATTAGCAGCTCAATTTATACAACAGTGCTGACTCATTAATAAGCACATAAAAAATTACTGCAGTTAATCAAAATTTTAATCAGTTAAATATGCAGAAGAAAATATTGAAAATATTTATAGTGTATCTATAATGTTTAATCACATCAGCTATTTACCACCAAGGTTGCAAAAAAATAAGGAAAGGTATAAAGAAAAAGATGATGGGAGAAACAGCGCTCTGTTCAAGAATATGACTGTGAAATATTAAGTTTGAAATGTAATAAGGTAGATACTGAAAAGTGTGTATGAGGTGGTACACAGGTGATGCAATCATTAAAAGACAATAGTCATCAAGAGTGATACAGGCAAGTGCAATATATGCTAGGATGTGGAAACACTGCTGGTGCCAAAATAGTGCACAAGCTCCACAGAGCTGTGTTAGGCCAGTCTACAAGCCAAGATTGTTAATTTTTTAAACTTAACAGCTGTTTCCTGCCAAGGCAGGATGACCCAAAGACGAAGAACACACATTCACTAACTTTCACTCAAATGCCATTTTTTTGGTAGTGTGCTGACATCACAACATCTCCACCCCTCCTTCAGAATTTTTTTTTTTTTTTTCAACAAGTCGGCCATCTCCCACCGTGGCAGGGTGACCCAAAAAGAAAGAAAATCCCCAAAAAGAAAATACTTCCATCATCATTCAACACTTTCACCTCACTCACACACAATCACTGTTTTTGCAGAGGTGCTCAGAACACAACAGTTTAGAAGCATATACATATAAAGATACACAACATATCCCTCCAAACTGCTAATATCCCAAAACCCCTCCTTTAGAGTGCAGGCATTGTACTTCCCATTTCCAGGACTCAAGTCCAGCTATATAAAAATAACCGGTTTCCCTGAATCCCTTCACTAAACATCACCCTGCTCACACTCCAACAGATCGTCAAGTCCCAAATACCCTTCGTCTCCATTCACTCCTATCGAACACGCTCATGCACGCCTGCTGGAAGTCCAAACCCCTCGCACACAAAACCTCCCTTACCCCTTCCTTCCAACCTTTTCGAGGACGATCCCTACCCCGCCTTCCTTCTCCTACAGATTTAAATGCTCTCCATGTTATTCTACTTTGATCCATTCTCTCTAAATGACCAAACCACCTCAACAACCCCTCTTCAGCCCTCTGACTAATACTTTTATTAACTCCACACCTTCTCCTAATTTCCACACTCGGAATATTCTGCATAATATTTACACCACACATTGCCCTTAGACAGGACATCTCCACTGCCTCCAACCGCCTCCTCGCTGCAGCATTTACAACCCAAGCTTCACACCCATATAAGAGTGTTGGTACTACTATACTTTCATACATTCCCTTCTTTGCCTCCATAGATAACGTTTTTTGACTCCACATATACCTCAACGCACCACTCTCCTTTTTTTCTTCATCAATTCTATGATTAACCTCATCCTTCATAAATCCATCCGCCGACACGTCAACTCCCAAGTACCTGAAAACATTCACTTCTTCCATACTCCTCCTCCCCAATTTGATATCCAATTTTTCTTTATCTAAATCATTTGATACCCTCATCACCTTACTCTTTTCTATGTTCACTTTCAACTTTCTACCTTTACACACACTCCCAAACTCATCCACTAACCTTTGCAATTTTTCCTTAGAATTTCCCATAAGCACAGTATCATCAGCAAAAAGTAACTGTGTCAATTCCCATTTTGTATTTGATTTCCCATAATTTAATCCCACCCCTCTCCCGAACACCCTAGCATTTACTTCTTTTACAACCCCATCTGTAAATATATTAAACAACCATGGTGACATTACACATCCTTGTCTAAGACCTACTTTTACCAGGAAGAAGTCTCCCTCTCTTCTACACACCCTAACCTGAGCCTCACTATCCTCATAAAAACTCTTTACAGCATTTAGTAACGTACCACCTATTCCATATACAGTGGACCCCCGGTTTACGATCAGCTCCCAATGCGACCGATTATGTAAGTGTATTTAGGTAAGTGCATTTGTATGTGTATGTTTGGGGGTCTGAAATGGACTAATCTAATTCACAATATTCCTTATGGGAACAAATTCGGTCAGTACTGGCACCTGAACATACTTCTGGAATGAAATAATATCGTAAACCGGGGGTCCACTGTACTTGCAACATCTGCCACATTGTTCCTCTATCCACTCTATCATATGCCTTTTCTAAATCCATAAATGCAATAAAAACTTCCCTACCTTTATCTAAATACTGTTCACATATATGCTTCAATGTAAACACTTGATCTACATATCCCCTACCCACTCTGAAACCTCCTTGCTCATCCGCAATCCTACATTCTGTCTTACCTCTAATTCTTTCAATAATAACCCTACCGTACACTTTTCCTGGTATACTCAATAAACTTATTCCTCTATAATTTTTACAATCTCTTTTGTCCCCCTTCCCTTTACATAAAGGGACTATACATGCTCTCCACCAATCCTTAGGTACCTTCCCCTCTTTCATACATTTATTAAACAAAAGTGCCAACCACTCCAACACTATATCCCCCCTGCTTTTAACATTTCTGTCATGATCCCATCAGTTCCAGCTGCTTTACCCCCTTTCATTCTATGTAATGCCTCTCGTACCTCCCCCACACTTACATTCTGCTCTTCTTCACTCCTAAAAGATGGTATATCTCCCTGGCCAGTGCATGAAATTACCGCCTCCCTTTCTTCCTCAACATTTAAAAGTTCCTCAAAATATTCTCGCCATCTACCTAATACCTCCCTCTCCCCATCTACTAACTCCCCTACTCTGTTTTTAACTGACAAATCCATATGTTCCCTAGGCTTTCTTAACTTGTTTAACTCACTCCAAATTTTTTTCTTATTTTCATTAAAATTTCTTGACAGTGCCTCTCCCACTCTATCATCTGCTCTCCTTTTGCACTCTCTCACCACTCTCTTCACCTTTCTTTTACTCTCCATATACTCTGCTCTTCTTATAACACTTCTGCTTTGTAAAAACCTCTCATAAGCTAACTTTTTTTCTTTTATCACACCCTTTACTTCACCATTCCACCAATCACTCCTCTTTCCTCCTGCCCCCACCCTCCTATAACCATAAACTTCTGCCCCACATTCTAATACTGCACTTTTAAAACTCATCCAACCCTCTTCAACCCCCCCACTACTCATCTTTGCACTAGCCCACCTTTCTGCCAATAGTCGCTTATATCTCACCCGAACTTCCTCCTCCCTTAGTTTATACACTTTCACTTCCCTCTTACTTGTTGTTGCCACCTTCCTTTTGTCCCATCTACCTCTTACTCTTAACTGTAGCTACAACTAAATAATGATCCGATATATCAGTTGCCCCTCTATAAACATGTCACCCTGGAGCCTACCCATTAAACCTTTTATCCACCAATACATAATCTAACAAACTACTTTCATTACGTGCTACATAAATACCTTGTATATTTATTTATCCTCTTTTTCATAAAATATGTATTTACTTATTACCAAATCTCTTTCTACACATAGCTCAATTAAAGGCCCCCATTTACATTACCCCTGGCCCCCCAAATTTACCTACTACTCCCTCCACAACATTTTTACCCACTTTAACATTGAAATCCCCAACCACAAGTACTCTCACACTTGGGTTTCAAAAACTCCCCACGCATTCACTAAACATTTCCCAAAATCTCTCTCCTCCCCCTCTACCTTCTTTCTTCTCCAGGTGCATACACGCTTACCAGAACCCACTTTTCACATCCAATCTTTATTTTACTCCACATAATCCTTGAATTAATACATTTATAGTCCCTCTTTCCTGCCATATCTATCCTTCAACATTATTGATACTCCTTCTTTAGCTATAACTCTATTAGAAAACCCCTGACCTAATCCATTAATTTCCTCTCCACTGAAACTCTCCCACCCCCTTCAGCTTGTTTCACTTCAGAATGATGCACAAAATGATATAAACTACTGAAATCACAATTAACTCAAGACAGTGAAGCTGATATTCTTGCTCATTACATTACATTACCTGATATCAAATAATTATTTTTTTTAACACACAGGCTTGTATCCCACGAGGCAAGGTGGCCCAAAAAGAAAAATGAAAGTTTTTCCTTTTAAATTTAGTAATACAGACAGGAGTAGGGGTTACTAGCCCCTTGCTCTCGGCATTTTAGTCGCCTCTTACAACACACGTCCAAAATAATTATTATATACACAAAAATAAGCAAACCTTTTGGGCATACAACATTTGACACCAAATAAATATAACGCTGTCTCACTACTTTGTACAGGGGACCCCCGGTTAGGGCCGGGTTTTTGGTTATGGGCCAACTCGTTTATCGGCGGGGTTTTCAGCACTCTTTATCCCCAAATTTGGACGCGTCCATCCCCCGGGCTGGGCAGCTTGTGCTTCAGTTTGGCTTTGTCTCTCAGTGGCTGAGGAAGGTTCTCTCATACATCCAAACATTTCGCTTTTTTTACCATTGTTTTTTAGTGATTTTTCTTGCAGTGCAACTGTGAAATAATTTAACCATGGCTCCAAAGAAATTTTCCTAGTAAAGTTCCTGTGGTAAAGAAAGTGAGAAACACCATGGAATTTAAGCGAGAAGGGATCGAAAAGTTTGAGAGTGGTATGAAGGTGGTGGAACTTGCCAGGATGTACAGCAAGAATAAATCAACAATTACATCCATCCTGGCGAAGAAAGGACAAATCAAAGATGCTAATGTTGCAAAAGGAGTAGCTTTTCTAACTAAACAAGGACACCGAAAAATGGAAGAGATGGAAAAGTTATTATTATTGTGGATTAAGGAAAAAGAATTAGTGGGAGACAGTGTAGTGGAGTTGATCATTTGTGAGAAGGCAAAGCAGTTGCATGAGGATCTTGCAAAGAAAATGCCTGGAACAAGTGCTGCAGTTTGTGAATTTAGGGCCAACAAAGGATGGTTTGATATATTTAAGAAGCGTAGTGGCATACACAGTGTTGTAAGGCTGTTGTGAGGCTGCAAGTTCTGACAAATGTGTGGCTGAAAAGTATGTTCACGAATTCCAGGATTATGTAAAGGCTGAAGGATTCAAACCCCAACAAGTTTTCAACTGTGATGAAACAGGCCTACTTTGGAAGAAAATGCCACAGAACCTACATTACCCAGGAGGAAAAGGCACTGCCAGGACACAAGCCTATGAAAGACAGGCTTACTCTTTTGTTGTGTGGTAATGCTAGTGGGGATTTCAAAGTGAAGCCTTTACTTGTGTATCACTCAGAAAATCCCAGAGTGCTTAAGAAAAACAATGTCATCAAGAATAGACTGTGTGTGATGTGGAGAGCTAATCATAAGGCATGGGTCACAAGGCAAATTTTCAAAGAGTGGGTTAATGATGTGTTTGGCCCAAGCGTGAAAAATACCTCCTGGAAAAGAAATTGCCACTCAAGTGCCTCCTGTTACTGGACAATGCTCCTGCACATTCTCCAGACTTGGAAGACCAAGTGTTTGTTTTTATGAAAGTGAAGTTCTTGCCTCCTAACACCACTCCTCTCCTCCAGCCCATGGACCAGCAGGTCATTTCTAACTTCAAAAAACTCTACACAAAAGCAGTGTTTAAAAAGTGCTTTGAAGTGACTTCGGACACTCAGCTGACCCTAAGAGAGTTCTGGAGGAATCACTTCACTATCCTCCATTGCACAAGCCTTATAGGTAAGGCTTGGGAGGGAGTGACTTCCAGGACTTTGAACTCTGCTTGGAGAAAACTGTGGCCAGATTGTGTCCAAGAGAGGGATTTTGAAGAGTTTGAGACTCACCGTGACCCTAACCCTGCCGACCCTGTGGACTTTATTGTGTCTTTGGGGAAGTCCCTGGGGTTGGAGGTGAGTGGTGAGGATGTGGAAGAGTTGGTGGAAGACCACAGGGAAGAGCTTACCACTGAAAAGCTGCAAGAGCTTCAACTTGAACAGCAACAGACTGCAGCTGAGGAACTTGCTTCAGAGGAGGAGGAAGAGGGAGTGAAGGAGGTGCCTTCTTCAGAGATTAAAAAGGTGTGTGCAATGTGGACCAGGGTGCAAGCTTTTGTAGAGAAACACCACCCTGACAAAGCTGAAACAAGCCATATCTGTAACATGTTTAGTGACAAAACCCTGTCCCACGTCAGGGAAATCTTAAAGAGACGCCAGAAACAGAGCACTCTGGACAGTTATTTTGTGAGACAGGGGTCCAGTGACTCTCAAGCTGGTCCTAGTGGCATTAAAAGACAGAGAAGGGAAGTAACCCCAGAGAAGGCATTGCTACCTAAAGTCTTTATGGAGAGGGATTCCCCTTCCAAACACTTAAAGAGACGCCAGAAACAGAGCACTCTGGACAGTTATTTTGTGAGACAGGGGTCCAGTGACTCTCAAGCTGGTCCTAGTGGCATTAAAAGACAGAGAAGGGAAGTAACCCCAGAGAAGGCATTGCTACCTAAAGTCTTTATGGAGAGGGATTCCCCTTCCAAACACTAACTCCTCCCTCTTTCCTCCTCCCTATCTTCCAGAAGCCAGCATTAGCCTTCAATAAAGGTATGTAATACTTACATAATTGTAAAAAAAAATTATTTTTTTTGTGAATATTTTTGTTTGGAAAGAATTAATTTTATTTCCATTAATTCTTATGGGAAATATTAATTCGGTTATCGGCCATTTCGGTTATCGGCTGACCTTCAGGAACGGATTACGGCTGATAACCGGGGGTCCACTGTATAATGTGTTTATTAATTACACAAAGTAGAAAAAGGATGAAATAAGATGTAATAAAAAGTTTTATGTGGCTCAGATGCCAGATCAACCTGGTTGTGATAGCTTTGTGGGCTAGTAAGAAAAAAGCAGCAATAGTTACTGGTCTCAGGTCAATACTGAACTCCTGTTCCTTGGATGAGGGATGGATTACCTCAACTGAAGCCGTTTTCCCTCACGTAATTCCAAAAGGGTAAGGGGCAGATTACCTTTTATTCATATCCTGGCCTTGAGGCCAAAATGTAACTGCAGGTAAGATGACTATGAGGGACTTCGGAAGATGCATCGTGAAACTCATTTTTTCACATCAAGGTGAGCATAAAGCATCACATGCATGCATATGTACATATGTGTGTTTGGAAGGCACTTTTTTCACAAGACTTGAATCTCATCTTGGTTATAATGAAATACACTAAACTGTAATACTATTATTTCTACAGCTGCTGTTAAAAAGATAACATACCACATGTAAGAAGCTAATGACTGTACTACTGCATATGGTAAAGTTTAACATGTATTATATGCCCCTTACTTGCAGGACTTGTGAGGCCATGCAGACTAGACACTACTATGTGAAGATCACCGATCAGTAAAGAATCATCTCGACCCGATTTGAGCAAGAATGATCCCATATTTGTCTTTAAGAATGACCGGCAAGATGTGATCCATTGCTGCAGCTCCTGCAGGGTAAGGGAGCTCCCTCCAACTCCTGGGGTGTTAGCCTGGAACAAGAGATTATATACAAAATTAATCCATATAAAAATTCTAATCTCATATCATCCCCAAAAAAACTGCCACAAAAAGTGATATAATATTAAAATTAATAAAATATTTTTTTATTATTCAATACACAGGCTATTATTGAAGGGTGCTCCCAGGCAAGACTCAGGAATTGTTTTATATTTTATGTTACGTACAAGGTATCAACACCACGGAATAAAAATATCATTAAACAGTAAACTGTTAAGGAATTTAGACCAAACATCTGATAAATATGGTATTGTATTAGGAACATTTAGTAATGATGGAACCTTGATAACACTGAGGCAGTTAGGCTGACCCTTAATCGTGGCTTAGTGATTCTACTGCAACACATATGTATACTGTATTAGGCTAATAAAAGATTACCAATACATGAGCAAATGGATCAATTATTTGTTTACTCTTCCTATAGAGCAACAGAAAGTAGTCAAGTATCATCTAATGTGATCTTTAATCATTGGCAAGAACTGCTCCAGAAGTTTTTATACAGGAGGGACTTTAAAGTAACACTCCAGCTGGAAGAGAGGACTAGAGTATTTGTCTTGAAACAGCATGATTATTATTTTTATTTGGGAGCTTTGAGAGGCTAATAGAATTTTTGAGGGGCTTCAACACTGCCTTGCCTCTTCTGCTGCTGCCCTTGAAATGAAAGTCCTCACTAACATGACCAAAACCCCCAATGGTTGGGTCATCATGTGACTAAGATTTGCATTAGAAAAATGTTCCTTTTCTTTCCCCCAACCTATAAAAATACAGCATGTATTAACACACAGTATGCTTGCTCTTGCATCAATGGGTGGTGGGATGTAATATATGAAAATAAGGAAAAGCAATTCCTTTTAAAACCAGTATCAAATTAACGCACCAGTTAAATCAAAAAGAAAAAACTCAAACCAGGATCTTAATCCACAGGAAAGTAGAATACTGTACTGTATATCTAACTAGCAAGACTCAACAATAAAAATTATAAAAAAGTAATGTGGATGGAACAATTCATAACAACCCATAATTTGGATCAGAAACCTTATTTGGTGTGTTGGTCTATCCTTTGTCTTTTTTTTTTTTAACCTCAATGGCCATCTGCCACCAAGGCACAAAGAAGTAAACATATTCACCATCACTTATTCAATCTCTGTCTTCCCAGAGGTGTGCTGACATCACAATTCATATTACTCTCCAACTGCAGCATCCCCACCCTTCATCAGAGAGCAGGCAATGTACTTCCCACCTACAGAACTAAAGTCTAGTTAACTGGTTTCCCCATGAATCCCTAAATCCTGTTGGAGTGTGAGCAAGGTAACTTTTATGAAGGGATTCAGATAAACCAGTTAGCTGGGCTTGAGTCTCTGAGGTGGAAATGACAGTGTTTGCACTCTGAAGGAGGGGTGGCAATATAGCAGGTGGAGGGTAATCTTAATTCTGATGTCAGCACACATGTCTTAAGACAGCAGTTGAAGGAATAATGGTGAATAAGTTTCCTTCCTTGGGTCACCCTGCCTTGATAGGATATAGCCATTGCAGTAAAAAATCATTAAAATAAAATTTTCAAATTACTTTTTTTTGGCTATATCAATTTATGGCTTCTTGCTAATTTGAATATTTTAACTTTTTTGTGAAAAAATGATACTTCTAAGGGAAGTAACCAAATGGCACATGACTTGGTGTAAGGGTTAATGAGGATACTTAGAGAGCACTGATGCAGGTAACTCTCAGTCGGTGACAAGGAAAATTTATAAACCCTACTACTAGATACACACATCAGTGTGGCTCCAAGTAGGGATCAGCTTAAGGTTAACTCCCTGCTAGCCAGACACACACTAATCCAGGGGTGAGCAAACTTTTCAGTGCAGGGGCCACATTCAGCCATCTGTGGGTAACATGTTATTTTTTTTTTTTTTCAACAAGTTGGCCATCTCCCACCGAGGCAGGGTGACCCAAAAAGAAAGAAAATCCCCAAAAAGAAAATACTTTCATCATCATTCAACACTTTCACCTCACTCACACATAATCACTGTTTTTGCAGAGGTGCTCAGAACACAACAGTTTAGAAGCATATACATATAAAGATACACAACATATCCCTCCAAACTGCTAATATCCCAAAACCCCTCCTTAGAGTGCAGGACGACCCCTACCCCGCCTTCCTTCTCCTACAGATTTAAATGCTATGTCATTCTACTTTGATCCATTCTCTCTAAATAACCAAACCACCTCAACAACCCCTCTTCAACCCTCTGACTAATACTTTTATTAACTCCACACCTTCTCCTAATTTTCACACTGAATTTTTTGCATAATATTTACACCACACATTGCTCTTAGACAGGACACCTCCTTGTTGCAGCATTTACAACCCAAGCTTCACACCCATATAAGAGTGTTGGTACCACTATACTTTCATACATTCCTTTCTTTGCCTCCACAGATAATGTTTTTTGTCTCCACAGATACCTCAATGTACCACTCACATTTTTTCCTTCATCAATTCTATGGTTAACTTCATCCTTCATAAACTCATACACTAACAAGTCAACTCCCAAATATCTGAAAACATTCACTTCTTCCATCCTCCTCCTCTCCAATGTGATATCCAATTTTTCTTTATTTAAATCATTTGATACCCTCATCACCTTACTCTTATCTACATTCACTTTCAACTTGCTACCTTTGCACACCCTCCCAAACTCGTCCACTAACCTTTGCAACTTTTCTTTAGAATCTCCCATAAGCACAGTATCATCAGCAAAAAATAACTGTATCAACTTCCATTTTGTACTTGAGTCCCCATAATTTAATCCCACTCTTCTCCCCAACACCCAAGCATTTACTTCTTTTACAACCCCATCTATAAATATATTAAACAACCATGGTGACATTACACATCCCTGTCTAAGACCTACTTTTACGGGGAAGTAATCTCCCTCTCTCCTATACACCCTAACCTGAGCCTCCCTATCCTCATAAAAACTCTTTACACTATTTAGTAACTTACTACCTATTCCATACACTTGCAACATTTGCCACATTGCTCCCCCTATCCACTATCATATGCCTTTTCTAAATCTGTAAGTGCAATAAAAACTTCCCTACCTTTAGCTAAATACTGTTCATATACATGCTTCAGTGTAAACACTTGATCTATACATCCCCTACCCACTCTAAAGCCTCCTTGCTCATCTGCAATCCTACTCTGTCTTACCTCTAATTCTTTCAATAATAATCCTATCATACACTTTACCTGATCTTCTTCTTTCAACAAACCGGCCGTATCCCACCGAGGCAGGGTGGCCTAAAAATAAAAACAAGAGTTTCTCTTTTCAAAATTAGTAATTTATACAGGAGGAGGGGTTACTAGCCCCTTGCTCCTGGCATTTTAGCCGCTTCTTACAACACGCATGGCTTATGGAGGAAGAATTCTGTTCCACTTCCCCATGGAGGTAAGAGGAAATAAACAAGAACAAGAACTAGAAAGAAACTAGAAGAAAACCCAGATGGGTGTGTATATATATGTTTGTACATGTTTGTACATGTTTTGTGGGTAAGGGGCTTGGACTTCCAGCAAGCGTGCGTGAGCATGTTAGATAGGAGTGAATGGAGACGAATGGTACTTGGGACCTGACGATCTGTTGGAGTGTGAGCAGGGTAATATTTAGTGAAGGGATTCAGGGAAACCGGTTATTTTCATATAGTCGGACTTGAGTCCTGGAAATGGGAAGTACAATGCCTGCACTTTAAAGGAGGGGTTTGGGATATTGGCAGTTTGGAGGGATATGTTGTGTATCTTTATATGTGTATGCTTCTAGACTGTTGTATTACCTGGAGTTTACCTGGAGAGAGTTCCGGGGGTCAACGCCCCCGCGGCCCGGTCTGAGACCAGGCCTCCTGGTGGATCAGAGCCTGATCAACCAGGCTGTTGCTGCTGGCTGCACGCAAACCAACATACGAGCCACAGCCCGGCTGATCCGGAACTGACTTTAGGTGCTTGTCCAGTGCCAGCTTGAAGACTGCCAGGGGTCTGTTGGTAATCCCCCTTATGTGTGCTGGGAGGCAGTTGAACAGTCTCGGGCCCCTGACACTTATTGTATGGTCTCTTAACGTGCTAGTGACACCCCTGCTTTTCATTGGGGGGATGGTGCATCGTCTGCCAAGTATTCTGAGCACCTCTGCAAAAACAGTGATAATGTGCGAGTGTGGTGAAAGTGTTGAATGATGATGAAAGTATTTTCTTTTTGGGGATTTTCTTTCTTTTTTGGGTCACCCTGCCTCGGTGGGAGACGGCCGACTTGTTGAAAAAAAAAAAAAAAAAACATGTATGTGTAGTGTGACCTAAGTGTAAGCAGAAGTAGCAAGACGTACCTGAAACCTTGCATGTTTATGAGACAAAAAATGGACACCAGCAAACCTACCATCATGTAAAACAATTACAGGCTTTCGTTTTACACTCACTTGGCAGGGCAGTAGTACCTCCCTGGGTGGTTGCTGTCTACGAACCTGCTACCTATAACTTTACCTGATATACTCATTAAACTTATTCCCTTATAATTTCTAATTTTTACAATCTCTTTTGTCCTCCTTCCCTTTATATAAAGATATATACATGCTCTCTGTAAATTCCTAGGTACCTTCCCCTCTTTCATACATTTATTAAACAAAAATACCAACCACTCTGACACTATATCCCCCCTGCTTTTAACATTTCTGTCATGATCCCATGAGTTCCTGCTGCTGTACCCCCTTTCATTCTATGTAATGCCTCACGCACCGCCCCCACACTCACATCTGCTCTACTTCACTTCACTCCCTGACCAGTGCATGAAATTACCACCTCCCTTTCTTCATCAACATTTAAAAGTTCCTCAAAATATTCCTGCCATCTACCCAATACCTCCAGCTCCCCATCTACTAACTCCCCTACTCTGTTTTTAACTGGCAAAGTCATTCGTTCCCTAGGCTTTCTTAACTTGTTAATCTCACTCCAAATTTTTTTCTTATTTTCAGCAAAATTTCTTGCCAGTGTCTCTCCCACTCTTTCATCTGCTCTCCTTTTGCACTCTCTCACCACTCACTTCACCTTTCTTTTACTCCCCATATACTCTGCTCTTCTTACAACACTTCTGCTTTGTAAAAACCTCTCATAAGCTATCTTTTTCTCTTTTATCACACCCTTTACTTCATCATTCCATCAATCACTCCTCTTTCCTCCTGCACCCACCCTCCTATAACCACAAACTTCTGCCCCACATTCTAATACTGCATTTTTAAAACTATCCCAACCCTCTTCCACCCCCCACTACTCATACTTTCATTAGCCCACCTTTCTGCCAATAGTTGCTTATATCTCACCCTAACTTCCTCCTCCCATAGTTTTTACACTTTCACCTCTCTCTTACTTGCTGTTGCCATTTTCCTTTTGTCCCATCCACCTCTTACTCTAACTGTAGCTACAACTAAATAATGATCCGATATATCCGTTGCCCCTCCATAAACGTGTACATCCTGAAGCCTACCCATCAACCTTTTATCCACCGATACATGATCTAACAAACTACTTTCATTATTTGCTATATCATACCTTGTATACTTATTTATCCTCTTTTTCATAAAATATAACAAACTACTTTCATTATGTGCTATATCATACCTTGTATACTTATTTATCCTCTTTTTCATAAAATATAACAAACTACTTTCATTATGTGCTATATCATACCTTGTATACTTATTTATCCTCTTTTTCATAAAATATGTATTACTCATTACCAAACCTCTTTCTACACATAGCTCAATTAAGGGCTCTCCAGTTTCATTTACCCCTGGCACCCCAAATTTACCTGCTACTCCCTCCACAACATTTTTACCCACTTTAGCATTGAGATCCCCAACCATAAGTACTCTCTTAAAATTCTCCATGTACTCACTCAACATTTCCCAAAATCTCTCTCTCTCTCTCTCTCTCTCTCTCTCTCCTCTACACTTCTCTCTTCTCCAGGTGCATAAACTTACTATAACCCACTTTTCACATCCAACCCTTATTTTACACCACATAATCCTTGAATTTATACATTTATATTCCCTCTTTTCCTGCCATAACTTATCCTTCAACATTAATGCTACTCCTTCTTTAGCTCTAACTCTATTTGAAACCCCCTGACCTAATCCCATTTATTTCTCCCCACTGAAACTCTCCTACCCCTTTCAGCTTTGTTTTTCACTTAAAGCCAGGACATCCAGCTTCTCATTTATAACATCCACAATCATTTCTTTCTTATCATTTGCACAACATCCATGCACATTCAAACATCCCACTTTGAGGGTTTCTTCTTTTTCATTCTAGTGAGCTATACAGGAAAAGGGGTTACTAGCCCATTGTTCCCAGCATTTTAGCTGACTTTTACTACATGCATGGTTTACGAAGGAAAGATTCTTATTCTACTACCCCATGGATATGAAATGAAAAGCACTAAGAACAAGAACTATTAAGATAAAGTCAAAGAAAACTCAAATGAATGTGTATACATAAACGTGTAAATGTATGTGTAGTGTGACCTAAGTGTAAGTAGAAGTATCAAGATGTACCTGAAATCTTGTATGTTTATGAGACAGAAAAAAGATACCAGCAATCCTACCATCATGTAAAACAAATACAGGCTTCCTTTTTACATTCACTTGGTAGGATAGTAGTACCTCCTTGAATGGTTACTGTCTACCAACCTATTATCTATAATAATATACTACAATTTTATCTGCAATACTTACCTGCAGTACTTGGATAGCTTCACCCCACTGATCTCGCTCATATTCAGATGAGATTAAAAATGTGTGGATTGAGCCAGCTCTTTTGGATATTCTGAAGGGAAGGTTAGGTGAAGCCAGGACCAACTGAGCTTCCAACTCTGCTAACTTCTTCCTCTGTTTCTCATTTCGAGTTGCATTGATGCGACCGGCCTACATGATGAAAAATGTGCACACACATACACATTAATGAGTTTTGAATAATTTACACATTTTCACTTCTGCTTTCTTTTAAGTTAAATCAAGGCATTGCTACTAATGTACAGTGAAAATATTTAGGCAATAAAATAAATCTGCATTTAATTTTTATAGCTACATGTAATTCATTCAAAAATAATGATTTGCTGTTACCCCTTTATCAGTTGCATTATCCACTCTCCTCAGCTGATCTCGTACTGTTGAGGCTTGAGACTTAAGAGACACTAAGTTTGGTGGATTAGATTCCTTAAGAGTCTCTGGTCCACTGTCATTCAATACAGCTATATCATGGAGGCTAATATACCACTTAACCTCGAATGTAAATTTCTCCGATCTACCAGTCGGCTGGAAGTAGAAAATTGTGTCAGTTTATTAATACTTTATGTAAGAAGTTTCTTAACTCCTGGTCACAAAAGTAGTATAAGCTTGCTGAAGAGCCAGTCAATGCTTATATTAATAAAAAGATGTAGTTACTGAAGGCAGTAAGTGACTGTCTATCACCACCACTTCAAGAATGCTCGGTGAGAAGCTTGTAGAACTTCTTGTAAGAGAAATAAGACCTTTCGTATCTCCCATCATGTCTTGATTAAAATGGAATTACTGATTGAACTTAATGACCGAAACCTTGTCTGCCTTCATGTTCATTAACCCTTTGACTGTTTTGGTTGTATATATACGTCCTACGAGCCACCGTGTTTGATGTACATATACTCAAATTCTAGCGGCTTCAAATCAAGCAGGAGAAAGCTGGTAGGCCCACATGTGAGAGAATGGATCTGTGTGGTCAGTGTGCACCATATAAAAAAAATCCTGCAGCATGCAGTGCATAATGAGAAAAAAACTCCAACTGTTGTTTTTAATTAAAATGCCGACTTTGTGGTCTATTTTCGTATAGTATTTATGGTTGTAGTCTCATTTTCTTGGTCTCATTTGATAGAATGGAAAACATATTATAGAAATAGAGGTGATTTTGATTTGTTTTACTATGAAAAGAACCTTGAAATGGAGCTCAAAGTAGGAGAAATGTTTGATTTTTGCCGATGTTCAAAACTAAACAAATGATGTCATTTCCCAATAAAAGTCCAAGTAGCCATTCTAATGTGCAGTCATGAATGGGTTGACATTATTTATAAAATTTATTAAAATTTATTGCGTAGTCTGCAAAAACCAGAAAATCTTCATTTTTTGTTTGAAAAAAAAATTCAAAATGGGGAAAGCAAGATAATATAAAAGGGGGGGCCTGGAGAATTACTGATGAACAAAAAAAAATGTTTTTTTAGAGCTGGGAAATTTTGCATTGTTCTTTCGGGGAAATTTATTTTGAAGGGGTTCTATTTTTTAAATTTTTGTAAATTGGCCATTTTTTGCAAATTTCTGCCCACGTTTTTTGGGTTTAGTTGAAACTGGTAAAGGGGGCATTTTTCTTTTACTCATTTTGATAAAACCCAGATAGAGTTCTAAAAAAATAGTTTTGATTTTGGTTGACTGGAGCAATGGAATTAGCCGAAAATAGGGCTCAAAGTGGGAAAAATCGTTTAAATTCGAAAAATTATCGCCGAGGTTGAAAACTTTGTGAGGGGCAAAATTTCCCAAATCAGTTTTCCAAAAATTTTTGTTTTTTTTTGGTTTGTCATTACAATGGGAAAAAGGGTTTTCTTATAAATTTCCCATAGATTTTTTTTTTTTTCAAAAATTTTAGGGAACCGGGAGACACCTCGGTTTTTGGGGTTGCAAACAAAAAAGGGGTTAATGAATAGAAAGATGTATTGTAAATGCAAAAAAAGAAAAAAAAATTAAATGAAAACACTTCAATAATAAAAGAAATTACCTACATAAGTGCAATTATTTATTTGAAGAAGGGGAAAACCGGGGGAAGGGTTTTTTTTACTTACTTTTTTACTTAGCAACACTATAACGTCGTTTAAAACGGGAAGAGGTGTCTCAGTTTTCGTTACCCTCCAAAAATTTTAAAACAATAAAATAAATTACGAACTAGATGCCGTTGGGGACGATCCTGAGCCTGAAAATATATCTTGGAAAAACTTTTTTGTAATATTTAAAATAATAAAATAATAATAAAAAAAGTATTAATAAAAATTACAAAATTTAATAATTTTAATAATATTTTTTGTATTTTATTAAAGTAAAAATACATAGAAATTTTAAACCAATAATAAAAAGTGCCTTTTTCTTGTCCTTAGTTTCCCCCCAAACTTCTAAAACAGCACTTTTATAAACCCCTTATAGGTTTAGCTTTTTGGTTTTTTGATTAAAAAAATAATAATAATACTATGACACCACCCCCTTTACTACTATTTTTGTTCTACCCTTTAAACCGTTCCCTCCCTTCCCACATTTATTCCCCTTTTTTTCCTTTTTTTTATTAAGGACATGGGCCCCGCTTCCCCCCAAAGGAGGGGGGGGGCCCAAAAAAAAGAAAAATTTTTTCATTTTTTCACTCCATCACTGTTTTTTGCCAGGGGGGCCACGCTAAACATTAAAGTTAAAAAACCCGAAATTTTTAAAACCCCCCCCTTCAGGGGCAGGCATGTATTTCCCCCTCTCCGGGACTAAAGGTCCACCCTCCCAGTTTCCCTGAATCCCTTCATAAATGTTCCCTTGCTCACATTTCCAAAACACCCATTTTTCGCATCCAAAAAACCCAATTTGTCCCAAATTTGCCCCCTATCAAAACATGCTCCGCATGCTTGCTGGAAGCCCAACCCCAAACCTCCCCCCCAATAACTCTCTCCCTATTTATTTATTTACCATTTACTCCCTTTACCATTCTTCCACAAATTAGCCTTACCATTTCCCCTCCCTTTTTTCTTCCTCTCTTGGTACCGCCCTGTCCCCTTGCCTATAAAACAGGGTCCCTTGGGATACGAATTTAAATTTTGTTCCAGAAGGTGTTCGGTGGCTGATACCAAACAAAATTTTTTTCCCCATAAAAAATTTAATGTTAAAAGTTTAAAGAATCAAAACTAAAAGGGGGGAGTTGTCACAGTTGCTCTTTGCTGAGGGACACTTTTGCTTTTTGGGAGATTCTGAAGGAAGTTGCGGGAAGTTTGGTGGATAAATTTGGTAGGGTGTCCCAAAAGAAAAAAAATTGAAAGTGAATACGGGAAAAGAGTAAGGTTATGGGATAACAAAAAGATTAGGTGATGAAAGTTTGGATACGTTGGGGGGGAAAGAGAGTTTTGGGGGGGTTAAATGTATTCAGATTTTTGGGGAGTGGACTTTGTCAGCGGATGGGTCTATGAAAGATGAGGTGAATCATAGAATTGATGGGGGAAAAAAAGGGTAAAGGGGTTTGAATTAGGAGTTTGGGGGACAAAGAACTTTGTCCTTGGAGTCAAAGGGGGAAATGTATGAGAGTATAGTTTTACCAACGCTCTTGTAGGGTGTGAAGAAGGGTGAATGAATGTTGCAGCGAGGAAAAGGGCTGGGGGGGCAGGGAGTTGTCTTTGTTGAGAGAAAAGTGTGGTAAAAATTTAAAAATGCAGGGGAATTCGTAGTTTGGAAAGTTGGGAGGGGGGTGCGGGATTACCAAAACGTTGCCCAAGGGGGGTGAGGAAGGGGTTGTTGGGGGTGGTTCAGCCCATGTGGGAGAATGGAGCAAAAACAAAATAACTTCAAGAGTGTATCAGTCTTAGTGGAGGAAGGCGGGGTAGGGTGGGGCCTAGGGAAAGGTTTGGGGAGGGGGGGGGGGAAAAAAGGAGGTTTTTTTTGCGAGGGGCTTGGATTCCAGCAGGCATGGGTGAGCGTGTTTGATAGGAGTGAATGGAGCAAAGGGTTTTTTAAATACTTGAGTGCTGTTGGAGTGTGAGCAAAGTAAAAATTTAATGAAGGGGTTCGGGGAAAACCCGGCAGGGCCGGATTTTGAGCCCGGGGGGGAAGGGGGAAAGTAAGTCCCTGCACTCTGAAGGGGGGGTGTTAATGTTGCATTTTAAAAAAACCGTAGTTTTACAGCCCCTTTTTGGCAAGACAGTGATGGGTAAATGATGGTGAAAGTTTTTTTTTTCGGGCCCCCCTGCCTTGGTGGGAAGGCCCCAAATGTGATAATAAAAAAAAATAAAAATAGATTAATCCGTTTCGGGGCCCCCAAAAAATACACTCCAAGAGCACTTACAAAAATAGTTCGAAATTTTGGGAGTGTTCATATCCTAAAGGTACCACTGTTACTGGTTTTCAGAATGTTGCTGCCCCCTTATATGTGTTGTTTTTGCGTATTTAGTACCATCCATGTGCTTTATATAGAAGATCCCTATTGGGCCCCGAGTGACTGTTTTTGAGTCCAGGATGCGCTGAGGTTGAGGGGTGACCCCTTTCTCTCTCGACGGACCACCTCCCAAGCAGGCGGGAAAAAGGGCGGGCCCTGGGCCCCCACCTCTCATCCACAGTCTGCCCAATATATAGTGTTCCCACCCAAAAAAGGTTTTTCCTTAACCCCCTCGTATCCCTTAAGAACCCCTACGAAAAATTGGTGCCAGCAGAGGGACGGGTAATTCTGACGTTTACAGAAATTTTTCGGGGAGAAAAATTTCTTTGGGGCCGGTCCCTTCTTGTGAGTGGGCCCTGCCGAGAAAGGTTTAAAAGCTCGACCTAGCCAGCCAGCCAGCTCCCCCCGCAAGCGCTCCCGGGGCCTCTAATTTTTCACGGGGTCGGGTCTTTGTATTAGTGTTTATCTGCTTATTTGCTCACTCCTGAGGGGGGGTTGACCCAAAGTTTGAAAAATACCCCAAGAAACCCAGTCGGGTGGTAAAGGGAGCATTCGGGCCTGCCAAACTCCATCCCCCCCTTTTCCCTGCCAAGCCAGTTTTCCACCCCTCCCTGTGTATCGTTAGAAGTTATAAAAGCTATTCTGTTTTAAAGGGTTTTTAAGTAAGCCAAAACCCAGAAAACCAAACCCAGGTGAAAACCCCGTATCAAGAAAACCACGGGGGTTTACAGTTTTCATCGTTTGTGCTTCAAGCCCCAAAGCCATTCTGAGGGGTTTTTTTCACCCCTGTTTTTGTTTGGTATTTGGGGGTTTGGGTTTTAACCCGGGCCCCGGGCTTAAAAAATATCTTTGCCCCGTGGGGTTTGTCCCCGGTGGGGGTTACCCCGTTCCCCCAAATGGGCCCCACTCACCACGGGGGCTCCCCACTCCCCGGCCTCACCCCCTCCCTTCAGCCCACTCCCCAAAAACCTTACCATTGTTATTGTACTTTATTACGGGTACTAGCACCATTTTTTAAAGGAAACCACATAGGGGGTCAAGGGGTTTAGAGGTTTTTTTCGTCATTTGGGGCCATCTTTTTAAAAAGCCTCCTGTGTAAAGTCCATGGGTCGATTTAAGTGTAATTCTACGATCACGTTTTGGGACAGCACCCCAGCCGAAAGCGACATAAACTTTCCTTTCCAAACCCCCCATCTCCTTTTTCTTAACCAAGTCGTTAAGTGATAATATTTTTCATAGAGACTTTTGCGAAGTTTTGAGACATTTTTTTTTGTTTCCAGTGTTTTTTTTTTTTAGTGACTTTAGTAACTCTCGATGAGACCCCCAGTGTTTATTTATACTGATTGAAATTTTTTTTTTCCTTTTTAAATTTTCAGTTTTTAATTTTCGTGCATAATTTCTTTGTCTGTTGTGTTGTGCTTCTTTTTTTTTATATTTTGAAGTAAGTACCTTATTTGTTTTTTCCTTGTGTGCAAATATAAGCGTATAGAACTTGTGTTTACACTTCAGAATCCCCTTGTGTTAAACGTTTCCCCGGGTGAAGTAATTCAGAAATTTTTATTCCTTATATCCTGATCACAACTCGGGTTTTGTTTTTGTTTTTTTTTTTTTATCCCACCCATTTGTGTATTTTCCCTTTTATTTATTTTTTTTTCTTGTTTGAACATTTTTTTTGTTAATTCCTTTCATTCACCCGTGTTAATTTGTTTTATTTCCACAGAAAATAGTGCCATTGTTTTTTTTTCAAGCAAGACAATTATTTTTTTCAAATTTTTCACCCTCAATTTTATAGCAAGGAAAATTTTTAAGTATTGTGTTTATAGTTGTTTTGTTTTTGTTTCTGCATCACTGAAAAGTTTTCAATTTTTTTTTTTTTCTGTGTTTTGCCCCCTATTTTTTTTTCATGTTTCATTGAAAAAATTAACTTTTAGTGCAATTTTTAAGTTGTTCATTTAAAGAAAATTTTTTCTTTTTTTGGGTTCCAGAAAGGTTTTTTGCTTAAGTTTCCAGTTAGATTTTAAAGTTTTTCACTCAGTTCTTTCCCTTTAAATTTGAAATATTTTTTTTTAATTTTTTTTTAAACTGCATTTTCTTGTGTGTGTATTTTTTTATTATTGCACTTGACTATTTTGAATAATTCTTGTGCAAGCTTTTTTGGTTGCCATTTAAAAATTTTCTTGCAGAAATTTTTTTGTAGTGTGTTTTCGTACTTTTTGGTTAGCAATTGTTATTTGCAGTTTTGGGTACAGCTTATTTCAGTTTCCGTTTTTTATGCTCTGTTCTGTGCATAATTTTTTTTTTCTTTGTGTGCCCTTTTTTTTTATTTTTAGTGAATTGTTTTCCCCAGTTTGGTTTTTTAAATTTTTCACAAAATTTATTAAGTCCCTTTTAACATTTTTTAATTTATTCATATTTTTTTTGTTGTATTTCCCTATTGCATTTAGAGTAAAGGAAAATCACTGTGCCCAAATTATTCAATTTAAAATTTAAAATTGAGCAAAAATTTTTTTTTGATTTGAAATTTAAAAAAAAAGTTTTTCTTGATTTTCGAAGTGTTGTTTATTTATAGTTGAGTATTTTTTTGTGTGGTTTCCCTTTCTTCAGGTTTACCTGTCCCAATTTTTTTTTATTTGCAGAATAGTTTTAAATATTTTCTTTTTCCCCTTTTAAATTCACTGTGTTGTGTTTCCCAGTTACATTTTCTTTTGTTTCTCTAAATTTTGTTTTACATGTTGCAAAAATGTCTCAAGTCTTCTCAACGTTTCCTCAGCAAATGCTGCTAGTACAACCCTTAATGC